GATCATCTCTTTACTGGGTGTCCTGTACATATATATATAGTTATGCAAAATAGAGGGAGTCATAAACTCCTAGAAAAACTGCGTTAAGGACCAGGTAGGTACTGAATAATCTATACGACCTGAGCAATAGTGCATAGTCCGTTGACTTGAAGAACTGTGCACATGGGTAGTTGAATGATGAACCTGCAGAAAATATGTACAGGGCATCCAATAAAAAGCAAACAACAACCAAATATTTGTAAACTTTTCGTTAAACGATAGTTATGTATATATTTGTTTGAAGTTTGATCATCTCTTTACTGGGTGTCCTGTACATATATATATAGTTATGCAAAATAGAGGGAGTCATAAACTCCTAGAAAAACTGCGTTAAGGACCAGGTAGGTACTGAATAATCTATACGACCTGAGCAATAGTGCATAGTCCGTTGATTTGAAGAACTGTGCACATAGGTAGTTGAATGATGAACCTGCAGAAAATATGTACAGGGCATCCAGTAAACAGCAAACAACAACCAAATATTTGTAAACTTTTCGTTAAACGATAGTTATGTATATATTTGTTTGAAGTTTGATCATCTCTTTATTGGGTGTCCTGTACATATATAATATAGTTATGTAAAATAGAGGGAGTCCCGGCCAACTTCGATCCCGGTTCGTCTTTATGACTTTATATGTTGGTATTGAGTCTCGCCGGCTTGCAATCAATTTTGAAAATGTCCATTTGACCGTCTGTGAAGTATGAAGTACTGAACAAAATTGTATTCCAAATGTAAACTTCAGACTTCTTATAATTATTATTATTGTTCGAAGTGTTTATCGTTGCGTTGCTACGTGATGCCCGCTTATGTGGCCAGAATTGAAAAGCGTAAAGTACCTACCTAATATTATTTTCACGAATAACATTATAATTTTCATTCGTCATTTCGTAGATAAACGATGGACGATGCGTACTATGAATTTTATAGGTATGTTCGGTTAGCCTAGGTACTTGGATAAATGTATTGTTTTCAATAGTTGCACCTCCATCCTCTCATGACGATTGTCGAAATTGGTTTTGGTAGATATTAAGTATGTAGTTACTAGTTAGGTAGTAAAAGTGCATACAATACATAATATAAAAAGATGAGCAAGTGGGTATATACCGCTCCACACCTGTACATTAAGTTTCGGGTGGGTCACTGTAATAGTGTAATGTATGGGACGTGTATTACATTTAAATTCAATGATATAAAATCATTGCATACGAGAAACGATACTGAGCGAAGACGGTCTGTCAGTCTATATTACTATTATAACTTACAAGTATACTTGTTATGATATTATTATTGCTTTTAAAGTAATTAATTTTACCATGAATAATTATTATAATAAAGTAGGTAGGTTGAACTTTCAAGCACCCAAGATAACAGTATTTTCAAATAACAACAAAGCAGCTAACATTTTTATTCTTCGTTTAAATATATAATTTCGTCCAAATTTTAACTTAAAATATCTATAAAAAAAACTGTGTTTAAATATTTAATAGATTTTTCAGTTACCGTAGACGTGAATATACTATTGTAGTATACTGACGTCCTAATTAAGAATGCCGTAAGTTTCCTTCACTTATAAGAAGTAGTATTTACCTATGCGTTATGAGGAACTTTGTTTTAAATTTTCAATCTTTAGCTATACAAATTAAACATTTTATTCATTTTTAACCTCAAAATAATTTGCAAATTTTTGTGATTATTATGAATTTTATAAAAATTTAAACTTTAAGTAATTATAAGAAATAATCATTAATATAAATCATTAATATTTTTGAACTAATATTATAAAAACATAAGATTAAATGTGTAATATATTTCCAAGTATTTTGACCGAGTGAACATTTTTTTATCGAAATTTAAAGAAAAAAAAAGGTGTGTATATTTTTCATGTAATTATCGACCAATTTAATGAATTATTTTTAATTTCTATGAAGTTAAAATCAATTTTTTTTTATGTAGGTACATATTGAAAACAATTTGTAAAAACACTAAAATAAATATTTTTGTAAATATAAATAATAACTATAAAGTAGCGAGATAAAAAAAGGTGGGCAAGTGAGTGTCACTCTGCTGTACAGTAGGTTACAAGTGGGTCACTGTATAATGGATGCTATTAAATTTGAATTCAATGATACAATATCATTGTATAAGAAAATCGATTCCGAGCGAAGACGGTATGTCAGTCTAGGTTTAAGACATATTATATACATATCTATGGTATTAAAAAAAAAATTGACCTATAATAAATTCCAAATTAATCATATCAGTATATCACAATATCCATGAGGTACTTATAACACGTTATACATCAATAACAAACCCTGATACTATCATAGATATATAATACTTTAGAAGTTTCAAGTATCCACGAATAGTATTATACACTCACAACAAAATAACTAAAATAGGTATTCTAGGTTTTTTAATATGTAATTTTGTCCAAATATGAATTTAAAATGTCTGTAAAAAATAACTGTGCTCATATATTTTTTAGATTTTTTGGCTACAGTATGAACTATTTATGAGAATCTTTTTTTTAAATTTTCAATCCTTAGCTATAAAACTCTGAACATTTTATAATTTATTAATTACGATGATTGATAATTTTCGAGATTTTGATAAATTTTGTCAAAATGCGATCTTTAAATGCTTATAAAAAAAAATTGTGCCTATGTATTTTAATATTTTTCAATTGCTATTGTAACAATATATCAGGAGCCTTGTATTAATTTTTTACACTTTTTGGCCCAACAGATAAAACTTTATTGATATTTATAGAAAAAAAAAAACTAAAAAAATTGAAAACTGAAAATGTCCGTAAAAGAGTCAAAATATTTTCAAAATTGTATGGTGTATAGGAAATGCTAATATAAATATTCAGTAAAATTTTCATGTATCTACAGTAATTCGTTTTTGAATTACAACAAAATAAGGAAATCGCCACATGAGAAATCGAGTGAATATCCAATGTTGTAAAAATTTGAATTTCAAACGCTCATAAAAATTTAATTTGACTTTCTAATAGAATTTTTTTTTTGATAAATGTAGGAAATTTTATAAGGAATCTTGTATTACATTTTCATATCTTAGATTTAAAAAGAAAAATTTTTATGAATTTCTAACTCGAAATAATTTGAAAATTTTCGTGATTTTTCCATATTTTGTCATTTTTTGAACTTTAAATGCTTAAAAAAAAAACTGTGACTAACGATTTTTAATATTTTTCATCTGTCTTTGAAACAATATAGTAGGAGCCTTGTATTAAATTTTCAAGTATTTTTACTCAACAAATAAATTTTTATTGATATTCATAAAAAAAAAAACTAATAAAATTGGATACTGAAAATGTCCCTAAACAGTTCAAAATAAATCAAAATATTTTGAAAATGTTATCGTGTATAGAAAATGCAAATATAAACAACCACTGAAAATTTCATGTATCTACGGTCATTTGTTTTAAAGTTACACCAAAAACCAAAATCGATTTTTTGGAAAACCGATTTTGTGTAAAAATTCCCGTTTTTCCTTAATTTTTATTTTGTTTTTCCCGGCGCTTTTGAAAACTACTGTGAAATTTAAATTTTGACCTCCTCAATGCAACAACGGTATTCACTTTCCAATCGAACAAGAAACTGAAGTTGAAAATCGAAGCATTATTTCGACTACTTATCGTGTACACAGACACAAAAAAAATAAAAAAATAAAAAAAAAACACACATCATTGTAAAATCAATACATTCATCGTTTCACTCAGAATCTTAAACATTTAAAAATTGAAAATTTTTATGAATAGTTCAAAAAAAGTCTTAATATTGGAAATAAGTAGAAAAGCTACTGAAGTTGAAAATCGAAGTATTATTTCGACTATTAATCGTGTAACGTGCCAACCACTTCAACTCAGTTTCTGATGGTATTTTGAATTAAATAACAAGTTGATTTTATAGTGATAGTTCAGTTGTATTTATTTAACACATAAAATAGACTAAGTCCAAATAATTAACTTATAAAAATGTGGTAAACGGGATGTGACTTAGTATCGACTTGGTGGCTGCTCTGCTGGTGCTCGTCGTCTCGGCTGGTGTTCGTCTTCTGGACGCTTGTCCATCGACGTATTTCGTCGGTTATTTATAATAGCTCCCTCCTATGGCATTTTTAGTATAAAAATGGTACATAGCCGCGTACACCTGACGTCATTTCGGGCGTTCTCTACGAAATAATGTTAATTGGGGATTATATGTTTTCAAAGTTATCTATTTTTGTTGTTTACGGCTTTTTCGTCTTTCCTAGAATATGGATAATGCGCGCGTATACCTATCAGGGTTCGCGCTGTACCATTAATTAGTTCTGTGCTCTTATCGATGTGGCCGCCCGGACGCTTATATTATTACTATTATCGGGTTACGTGCCCCCTGCAGCATTTATATCTATTATTGAATATAATATATTATAAATTATTACTATTATTAATATATACGTAGTCACAGCCCGTTACAATCGTGTACACGAGCTTTTACACTAATTATTTTTATTTTTCCAGTTGGTATAATAGTACTGTGCTGTTGTATAATATATCTTCTGTAAAGAGTTTAAAATGTTACACTCTTTATAAAGCTTTTGTTTAGAGCTTCACAGCTTGAAACATCCATGCACTTATATGTTATATGCATTTGAGTTAGAAACTACGAGGAGAGCTTTATTGTATATGAATACAATAAAAAATATATTAAATTTGTTGAATACAAAAACATAATGTGCAGTACTATATTTTTTTATTTTTTAACCATTATAAAAAAAAAACAAAATTTTTCCGCAGCTCATAATGATAATAATTCAATAATTGTTAATACGATTAATAATAATGTAAGTATAGGTAAGTAAATGCGTCTTAAAACAAGTCGTGAGCTTTAAGTTACAGAGTTATGTGTTTCAAAAAAAAAATAAACAGTTGATAACTGCATCAATTGCATTATTTGCAGCAGTGTTCAGATTTTCCCAGCAAACCGTTACACCGTCTCCAATTCTTCACCTTCCAGCCGGGTCCAAGAATGTTGCACCAGTCTCCGGCCGAATGTGCATGGCAGTCGAGCCAGCGACACTCTGCATCGATCGTTGTGGCTGCCACCAGCAAAACTAAAAATGGAAAAAAAAAATTAAAATGGTATCTACCAGCATGTACCAACAATACTCTTGGTATCGTACAAACAAAGAGACAATCATTTTAGATTCTGAGTGGAGCGATGAATGTATTGATTTTACAATGCCTGTGTATTTTATTTTTATTTTTTGTGTCTGTGTCTTAAAATTCCCAGCAGTTTTCAAATACGCCAGGAAAAACAAATAAAAATTAAGGAAAAATTGGTATTTTTTCACTGAATTTTTATATTTTCATATTCTATACACCATAAAACTTTGAAAATAATTTGACTCGTTTTGAGCTAGCTGTTTACGGGTAATTTAAAATTTCAATTTTATAGTTTTTTTTCTATAAATATCAATAACATTTTATTTGTTGCATTAAAAACGTAGTTAAAAAATAATAAAAATAGTTTAAAATACATAGGCACATTTTTTTTTTTTTAAAGCATTTAAAGTTCAAATGTTGACATAATTTATCAAATTTAATATTTATTTTGAAGTTAAAACTACTTAAAAATTTATAAAATGAATCTAAAGAGGCTATATTGCAGTTATAAAATAATATACATTATACTAATTATTCTATAGTTTTATTGTTTAATGACGAGCGGGGTAAGCTTTTATTCCATGGTTTATTTTGAATTTTGGGTTTCTAGGACCCCTAATACCTGTAGGCTGTACCTAACTAGTTACTATAGTAAATAGTTATGACCAAAGTTTGATTTTATTGAAAATATATTTGAAATAAATAAGACAAAGGTATAGGTTTAGGCTAGTGCGATGCCGTTACATGAAATGTTTTTTTTTAAATTTTTAATTATACAATCTATTAAGTGTAAAGTGATTCTATAGTTGTCAATAACCATATTGTGACTATGTGAATTAAATGGACATTTTATTCATTAAAATATACCTTATCACCTTTACGTGAAAAAAGCAATTCCTTAGCTCCCAGTGGTAATATTTTATATAATTTTGGTTAGTTTTATTTTTAAATTCTGGACTCGACTTCGACTTAGTTTAGGTTGGACAGATTTCTCAACATTTAAAGTATATTTAATGGTGAAAATATATTTAGTTTATGTGGATACAGCAAATTGTTATACATTTAAATATAGGGTTTTCCATTAAAATAATAAAAAAATAGTATAGGTATTATACAGCATCAAATAATAAATTACTACCTATTCAAACTATAAACTGCCATAAATAATTTCTAAAGTCCCAATTATTGTTATTTAATCTCAAGTGTTGAAATTTTTTAAATTATATATTTTATACTTTTATTTGTAATTATAAATTTAAACATTTTGCAGAGTAAATAATTTAAAACTAATTAAAAAAAAATTGATTGGGTACCTGTCTAGTAATTCTAGTGTCATAACTAAATTTTATTTTTAAAATCAAGTGAATTTTCTCCTTCATTCTAAAGTACCTACAGCATTATTTTTAAAACTTGATTATTATATATCAGTTAAAATTGCAATTATGAAAATTCCTATACACTAAGTAAAAGTTAACAGTTGAAATTTATAACAATATGCTAACACGATACAAATTTCACCTGTGCGTTGAAGTGGATGCATAATTAGTACTATTATTGGGCTAAATAAATTTACTAACATAATATTTTGTATGTTGTACTCACCCACTGCGACGACCAAAAGAAACAAAGACAAGTTACGATTCATGTTGATGTTGGAGTTGTTTGAACGTTGACTCTTGAATTGTGAGCTGATAGAGTTCTTTCGACAATTGAATGGTAGATTATGTTTTACGGAGTGTTGGACTTGCTCTTTTATAGGACAAATATCGATGACCGGATGATTCATACAAGCCACTAGGTGCATTGGTGGTACTGTAGTAGGTTCTATAGGTACTAGGTAGTATATTCCCACTACAGTTTTTAAACGATAATTTTTTTTTTATTATTAATAATAATAACAACAATAATATTATGGCTTCTTATTGCGTGTGCTTAAACGTTCGGGAAATTCCCAATAGATAATTAACGATTGCCATTTGCCAATCAGAATATTAAACGCTGTTATTAAACGATAAAGAACACGACAACTACAGTAAATTGTCATTTTTAATGTATATTTAATTTATATAAGTAATTACCGACATTACGTATTCCAAAGATCAGGAAATAGTAAACCATCAAAATATTTTACTCATATAATGGTCTTCTAATCACGCATTTACATGCAGATATCAATAACGTTATAGTTAAATTCCGTACGAATAGAATTACTACCTAAGTGATTGGAATTTTAAAGTTATTGCGATTATTAGTTAATGAGACCAAACTACTACATATTATAATGAGGTTAACATATTTTATGGGTTTTTTTTACAAATAAGTACCTACCTATTATAGACTTAAATATTTTATTCTGATTGCACATTATAATATTATGTATACGTATAGCATACACATAATTATCATATATTACCTACTATATTTACTATTTTTATCTTATTAGAAACAAAACAATAATACATCCACGCATGTTATATACATAACATAACATAAATACTTATTATTGTTAATTTAAGATGTACTTTTTTTTTAATGTGTTGATTCTATGATGATGTGTGTATGTTTACACGATTTATATCAGAAAAAAATCCTTTGATTTTCAACTTCAATATTTTTTTGTAGGAAATAGAATATATAGCTATTACTTAATACTTTTGGAAGAATAAAAGTCAAAACTAAAAAGACGGGTAAGTGAATGTAGCTCTGCTGTACAGTAGATTACAAGTGAGGGTGGTTTGCGTTTGGTCTAATTTTTAAAAACGCATTGTGTTTGGGCAATTTAGCATAATGCGTTTGGGCGAGTGATTATAAAACATTGTAATGTGTTTGGGCGATATTTTTTAATATCCCGGGATGCTGTATTTTATCAATCTATTTTCTCTCTCATTTCGACAGACTTGGGTTAGGTTAGGTTCCACGGGTATGACTAAAAGTGAATTGTTTTTGAAACGAAGTTTTTTATGGCACCATGCAGGGCTAGACGGGAAAAAAAAATTTCTGATGAAATTCTAATAATATTTTTAAAAGCAGATTTGAATTCGTTATTATGTCTACTTGAGATTTAGCTTTCCCAATTTCACCCCCCCCCCCCCCAAAAAAAAACCTCTAAAAATATTTAGCTTGAATATTTTGAAATTTCAGAATTTCAGAATTTTCAAACGTTTATTATTCGGAATTTAAAGCAGAAATCTTAAAATGTGAACCGACCGGATCTCAAATAGATATTCTATTGAATTCAGATCAGTTTTCTGAAATATTATAGCATTATTAAATCGATTGGTAGGATGGAACAAAAAAAGAAAACAACGGGAACAGTGAGTTGTAGTGACGGTCCTCGATAGATTGATTATACAATTTATAATTTATAAATATCTCGGTTAATGCGTATATTGATAATATAATAAAATTATTGATAATATATCACTACACTACGTATATTATGCATTTGTAATTATTATAATTAATAAAATATATAAGTAATAACTATAAATAAGTATATTATATAAGACGTATTGAATTATACGCAATATATTTTTGTAAATATAGCGGCAAATGGCTCGTCGGCGTGGTGCTACCACGCGCGTGAATAACGTGACGTTGTAATAACGCTTTCTGTTTGACAGAGCCTTAAAAGTGCCTGGTGGTAAAGTGGAAATCCCCAAAAGTGCTGGGCGAGCATATCGCGCGTATTTCCTGCACAACCAGACACTGAAATCTATACCACGGTGGCACAGTCCTTACAAAATATAAACTTTTGGTTACATCTTTTACAGGTACATATTATAACCTCCTTGCATGACGCGTTAACTTTTTTATGTCATGAAATTGTTTTCTTAGAATAATCTGATTGTTGCATATAGGTCCCCCTGCATAATGCACCTTTGTCGTAATTAAATTTTTTTGTGCGTCGCGTTTGGTATGGACTAATGGAAAACGGTATAACGCGACAATTTAAAACAGCCTAATTAGGCATATTAAATGCATATTATGCATTTATATAGTTATTATAATTTATAAATTATAACAGTTTGGTGGTGACTTTAACAACAATTTTAATGACAAGAAATCGGAGACATTTAAAATTTTCCTTATGGACACATTTAATTTACATTTGATAAACAATCCAGCAGAATCTACAACGAGAGATGACACCATTGTTGCAGTATTTTCAAGATATTTGGAAAAATTTACAACTCAAACATACATATCATGTTGCAGTTATCACAGACCTGTAATTTAGATTATTAAATATGTCTAATAATATATATAAATTGTAATATATATATATACATATATTTTATTAATTTTTCACATTTACTTAAACTCATTAAATACTTAAATACATTTACTTTTTTTTTTAATGGTTCCACTAAAATGTATTTGTAATCTATAATATTTGTAGGAAAAGAAACTTCCTTTCTACCATGACACCACTAATTTGTGTGTGTGTGTGTGTGTGTGTGATTAAAAATTGAAATGACGTGCCATATTTAGATTGATATAAAATTCCCTATAGATTTTATACATTATTTTTATCTTAATCTATACAAACTGACAATTGTATCTTTTATATTGTATTATACTCTCTCAAACACATAAAAAACTCGTCCAAACAAATTACTTTTATTATGTGGGTAAAAAGGTAATTCACCCAAAATCATGATGCCCTACAAGGGGGTCACTGTATAATTGTTTTTATTAAATTTGAATTCAATGATATAATATAATAAAATTGTATGCGAAAAATGATTCTAAGCAGTGACGGTTTGTCAGTGTAGATATTTTATATTAATTTATATTGTTATTAATACGGTAGCCCGTAAGTTTAATTAATATTATAAAATTACAACAAAATAACTTAAATCGTTATTCTTGGTTGTTTAATTTGTAATTTTCCTCCAAATTTTAACATAAAATAACTATAAAAATAACTGTGTTTTAAAATTGTTGAGATTTTTTGGTTACAGAATAACCTACTTACGTAGAACCTTATTGTAAGTTTTCAATCTTTAGCTATAAAAGTTGCAAATTTTATAAATTTTTAAATAGGTACCAAATAATTTTGAAAATTTAAAATTTGATGAATGTTGTCAAAAATCAAACTTTAAATTCTTATAACAAAAATTGTGCATATGTTTTTTTAATATTTTTAAACTGCTATTTAAGAAATATACCAAGAGCCTTGTATTAAATTTTGACCCTTTTTGGCCCAACAAATAAAATTGTATTGATATGTATAAAAAAAACCAAGCCTCTCTGCTGTACAGTAGGTTACAAGTGGGTCACTGTAATGGATGGTGTTAAATTTGAATTCAATGATATAATATCATTTTATAAGAAAAACGATTCTGAGCGGAAACAGTCAGTCAGCCCATGATATTATGAAGTATATATTAATTGATGATATTAAGGTGAATAAAGTTATTTATATATAGCCTATTTACGTAGAATCTTGTTTTAAATTGTCAATCCTTAGCTATAAAAGTTGAACATTTTATACATTTTTAAATACAACACCCCCCCCCCCCCCCCGAAGTACCAACTAGATTCACTTTCCTATCAGAAAAGGTACTGTTGAAGAAAATCCAAGCATTTTTACTGTCCTAAAAGGTGATGACAGACACAAAATAAATAAATAAAACACACATCATTGTAAATAATCAATACATTCATCGTGTCACTCAGAATCTAAAACTAAAAAAATTATCCGCAAAGATCTTAAAATAAGTCAAAATATTTTGAAAATGTTATCAAGTATAGGAATTGATAGAATAAACATGTAATATATAGGTGTATATATAAACCTATCAAGCGTTTACGGTTATTTATTACAACAAAATAGGAAAATCGGTACATGAGAAATAAAATGAATATTCAATGTGGTAAAAATTTTAACTTCAAACGCTCATAAAAATAACTTTCTTATTTAAGAATTTTTTTTATAAAGGTAGATAAAACCTTATAAGAAATTTTGTACTACATTTTAAAATCTTAGATTTAAAAGAAAACATTTTTAGGAATTCCTGACTGAAAATAATTTGTAAATTTTCGTGATTTTTAAGCCTTTTGTAAAAATTTGAACTTTAAATGCTTACAAAAAAAAAAATTGTGAATATGGATTTTTAATATTTTTCAAATTTCATTGTAATAACAATCTATTAACAGCCTTTTATTACATTTTCAAGCTTTTTTACAAAACACATAACATTTTATTGGCGTTCATAGCAAAAAAACTAAAATAATTTTAACCACTCCGGGGCCGATGCATCAGCTAGATTCACTTTCCTATCGAACAAGATACTGAAGTTGAAAATCGAAGCATTATTTCAACTACTTATTGTGTACAGACTCAAATAAAAAAAAAAAAAATCACTCATCATTATAAAATCAATACATTCATCGCTCCGCTCAGAATCTAAAATTCATACTAGTTTTCTAAATAATAATCAGAAAGAAAAAAAAATTATTTTGTTTCAATAAAACTAGGTAGGTAGCGTATCTATGTGCGTATTAAGCTTATTGATTTGAATAGAAGTAATATACTAGTTTACTACCGTCCTCGGGTAAGTACTAAGTAATATATTAATATACATTAATAGTTAAGGAAAAATAATTACGTTTCTTAGAAATACTGATCCCATTTAAACACGGTAATTAAATTCCTTATTTATAATAATTAGTATGTGTACAATATAATATATTTTATTTATGTGGAAATGATATTATAATTTTAATATACATATATTATAATATATTATTTATGTATAATTATAATTTATAACTATACAATAGGGTATATGACCG